GGCTATGGACCCTTGAAAAAATATTTTTAAAAAATCCACGCCTAGGGCTATGGACCCTTGAAAAAATATTTTTAAAAAATCCGCGTACGTCACTACTTAAGGTAACCACCAAATTCAATCAGCTGATTAAGATTTCTGGAACGTTTTTAAATTTGGCCGGCTTTGAAATTTTGTTGTGCAACAGGTGACTCTCTTCCCAAATGTTGTTTATCAGGCAGCGGACGCAGATAACAGTGATAACATTGGTGGCCTACCATTCTTCCCCCATTTGACCCACTGAAATTCAGTTCTTCAAAAATGGCCATGCAAGGAGCTGCCGCAAAATTTCGAAAATCCGCCAGTTTAATTATCTTGGCCCGTGATAAAACGGCACAGAATCCCGACTTCAAAGCTTTGCTTTTCAAGAGGCCTCCACAGGCCTCATTTATGCCAAATTCCGCTGTATTCCCCGGTGGTGTTTTCGAGGCCTCCGATGAGACACCTCTATGGAGAAAACATTTTGAAAAAATGGGTGCCAGCAAACAGCTGTCGGCACTGACCGAGGTACCTAAGGGTAAGAAATCGGCTATTTATGATAATGACAATCCGGAGGCTATTGAGAGGTATGTAAAATTGGAATTTTAAATGTAGAACGGATTTCATAACTTTTTTCTTTAGGGAAATTTCCCTGCGCATTGCTGCTGTCCGTGAGGCCTTCGAAGAGTTGGGTGTTATCTTTTGCCGCGATCGTAAATCTTTGGCCCAAGGCGGTGGGGAAGGTTATGGTAATTTTAGAGAGGACTTTGATCGCAACCATTGGCAGAAGTTGGTTCATAACGATAGCAACAAATTTTTGGAATTATGTCAGGAGCTGGAAATTGTACCGGATCTGTGGAGTCTACATCAATGGTCGAATTGGTTTACACCGACTTCGTTTAAGAAAAGGTGAGAAGGGAGAATTTCTAGAAATGGTAAAGTAGGCCTCTATAGGCGACCTAAAGGGAGCCATTATAGCCGAGCTATAGGGAGCCTCTATAGGCGAGCTATAGGGAGCCTCTATAGGCGAGCTATAGGGAGCCTCTATAGGCGAACTATAGGGAGCCTCTATAGGCGAGCTATAGGGAGCCTCTATAGGCGAACTATAGGGAGCCTCTATAGGCGAGCTATAGGGAGCCTCTATAGGCGAACTATAGGGAGCCTCTATAGTCTCTATAGCTATAGAGGCTCCCAATAGCTCTCCATCGACGTTGTAAAAAAATATCGTTTCCTTTTTTAGATTCAACACAGCCTTCTTTATGATTGCCCTGCAAACAATTCCGGATGTAATAAAAGAGAAGAATGAGGTCACCGATTTTGCGGTAAGTTACCAAAATTCCGAAATTAATTTATTCACTTAACGCATCCCCTTCCTCTCCTTTAGTGGCGCACCCCAGCCGAGTATCTGCAACAACATTTCAACAAAGAAATCTGGCTGCCACCACCTCAAATCTATGAACTTTCCCGTCTGCTGAATTTCACCCAATTGGAAGATTTAAAAAATTTTGCCCTACAACGTCGCCATGAAGGTCTCGATGTTACCCTACCCATTGAATATATGTGTAAGGATTCTCGTGTCAATCTCTTACCCGGTGATGATCTATATTCGGTGGAAAATTGCAAACCGGAAATTGAAAAAATCGATAAGACAGCCAAAGAATTTCGTGAGGGTGTGGAGAAAATTCATCGCATTGAATTTTATGGACCCAATGATGCCGTGTTGCGTTTGAACTATCAACTGCCATATGGTCATATCGCGCCGATTAATGCAAATCCCAAGAAAAGGGATTGAGGAGGACCTCAGCTAAAAATTTTGAGGAAAAGGTGAAATTATGGAGGTCACCTTTTGAAGGCTGTAATTGTCCGTGCCATTAACCCAATTGTCTTCCACCCAAAGTGCATTTATATAACCGTTTAAGTAACAAAATAGAAAATTAAAAAAAAATACTTAATAAAAACTAGACAATTTCAAAAAAATTAAACTTTTTTCAAATATTTTTTGGCGCGTCCATCAATAGGCGAGGATTTTTTAAAAATATTTTTTTCAAGGCTTGGATTTTTTAAAAATATTTTTTTCAAGGTCCATAACCCAAGACGTGAATTTTTTAAAAATATTTTTTTCAAGATCCATAACCCAAGGCGTGGATTTTTTAAAAATATATTTTTAAGGCGTGGATTTTTTAATAATATTTTTTTACGGCGTGGATTTTTTAAAAATATTTTTTTACGGCATGGATTTTTTAAAAATATTGTTTTACGGCGTGGATTTTTTAAAAATATTCTTTAAGGCGTGGAATTTTTAAAAATATTTTTTTGCGGCGTGGATTTTTTAAAAATATTTTTTTACGGCGTGGATTTTTTAAAAATATTTTTTTACGGCATGGATTTTTTAAAAATATTTTTTTAAGGCGTGGAATTTTTAAAAATATGTTTTTAAGGCGTGGAATTTTTTAAAAATATTTTTTTACGGCATGGATTTTTTAAAAATATTGTTTTACGGCGTGGATTTTTTAAAAATATTGTTTAAGGCGTGGATTTTTTAAAAATATTTTTTTACGGCGTGGATTTTTTAAAAATATTTTTTTACGGCGTGGATTTTTTAAAAATATTTTTTTACGGCGTGGATTTTTTAAAAATATTTTTTTAAGGCGTGGAATTTTTAAAAATATTTTTTTAAGGCGTGGAATTTTTAAATCTTTTTTTAAGGCGTGGAATTTTTAAATATTTTTTCAAGGCGTGGATTTTTTAAAGAATACTTTTTCTAGATTTTTTAAAAATATATTTTTATGGCGTGGATTTTTTTAAATATTTTTTTATGGCGTGGATTTTTTTTTTAATTATTTTTTAAGGCGTGGATTTTTTAAAAAATATTTTTTTAAGGCGGGGATTTTTTAAAAATATTTTTTTATGGCGTGGATTTTTTTAAATATTTTTTAAGGCGTGGATTTCTTAAAATATGTTTTAAGGCGTGGATTTCTTAAAATATTTTTTAAGGCGTGGATTTTTTAAAAAATATTTTTTTATGGCGTGGATTTTTTAAAAAATATTTTTTAAGGCGTGGATTTTTTAAAAATATTTTTTCAAGGCGTGGATTTTTTAAAAATATTTTTTAAAAGCGTGGATTTTTTAAAATATTTTTTCAAGGCGTGGATTTTTTAAAAAATATTTTTTAAGTCGTGGATTTTTTAAAAAATATTTTTTAAGTCGTGGATTTTTAAAAAAATATTTTTTAAGCGTGGATTTTTTAAAAATATTTTTTAAGGTGTGGATTTTTTAAAAATATTTTTTAAGGTGTGGATTTTTTAAAAGTATTTTTTTAAGGTGTGGATTTTTTAAAAGTATTTTTTTAAGGCGTGGATTTTTTAAAAGTATTTTTTTAAGGCGTGGATTTTTTAAAAATATTTTTTAAGGTGTGGATTTTTTAAAAATATTTTTAAGGTGTGGATTTTTTAAAAGTATTTTTTTAAGGTGTGGATTTTTTAAAAGTATTTTTTTAAGGCGTGGATTTTTTAAAAGTATTTTTTTAAGGCGTGGATTTTTTAAAAATATTTTATAAGGCGTGGATTTTTTAAAAATATTTTTTAAGGCGTGGATTTTTTAAAAATATTTTTTTAAGGCGTGGATTTTTTAAAAATATTTTTTTTCAAGGTCCATAGCCCAAGGCGAGGTTTTTTTAAAAATATTTTTTTCAAGGTCCATAACCCAAGGCGTGGATTTTTTAAAAATATTTTTTTCAAGGTCCATAACTCAAGGCGTGGATTTTTTTCAAAATATTTTTTCAAGGTCCATAACCCAAGGCGTGGATTTTTTTCAAAATATTTTTTTCAAGGTCCATAACCCAAGGCGTTGATTTTTTTCAAAATATTTTTTTCAAGGTCCATAACCCAAGGCGTGGATTTTTTTCAAAATATTTTTTTCAAGGCGTGGATTTGTCAATTTCAATGCACCTGTAGAGGCTCCCTTTCAGCTCGCCTATAGAGGCCCCTTTCAGTTCGCCTATAGAGGCTGCCCTTCAGCTCGCCTATGGAGGCTGCCTTTCAGCTCGCCTATAGAGGCTGCCTTTCAGCTCGCCTATAGAGGCTCCCTTTCAGCTCGCCTATAGAGGCTCCCTTTCAGCTCGCCTATAGAGGCTCCCTTTCAGCTCGCCTATAGAGGCTCCCTTTCAGCTCGCCTATAGAGGCTCCCTTTCAGCTCGCCTATAGAGGCTCCCTTTCAGCTCGCCTATAGAGGCTCCCTTTCAGCTCGCCTATAGAGGCTCCCTTCAGCTCGCCTATAGAGGCTCCCTTCAGCTCTCCTATCCCTTCAGCTCGCCTATAGAGGCTCTATTCAGCTCGCCTATAACAGCCCCCATGAAGAGATTTCCTTAAGTTCATCATTGAATTGTTGTTGTAGTTTTGATTTTTATTATTTTTAATAACTTTTTGTTGTTTTATTGTACTTAGAAATTTACAAAAAATTCTTAAACCAATAAGAAAAAAAATTAACACAACTCAATTATGTTTTGTAAAACAAACTTGGGGACCCAAACATGCACCCTGGAACCATTAACCAATATTACCAATTAAGTTAAAATGTAATGGTAAAAAACTGAATTACAGACTTAGGTAATAAAATAAAAGTCATAGTGTAATTAAATTTTAGATGATTAATGGCCAAGGAGCGACGGGAACGAATGGGGCCCCATTTTTGTGGTTTGATGAGTTTCTTTGACTTAACAAAAATTCTTACGATTAAAAAAATTAAAAAGATGTTCGAAATACTCTTTCAAAGAGTTGAAATATTTCTTGGGATTGTTTACTTCTTCTTCTTATTTAGAGTTAGCTGGGTCTAACAAAAATTAAAATTTAACAGGTTTTTCAACTTTTTTACGAAAAAAGTTTTGGTTGGGTTTGGAGGTGTGGAAGATTTCCATTTTTTTTTTGTGGGGTGGTAGTGTAGATGTGTGTGCTTTCTTCTTCTTCTTTTTCTCGCGCATTAGAAAAAACGATATTTAAATGCTAAAACTTAATATCCATCTAAAGTAGTAACTGCTGTTTATTGGGCCAAGGTGTTGCTGGGCAGGTTAAGCAATGTGCTTTGATTGCCGGGCAAGTAGGCCACACCACGGGATCTGGATAGTTGATAGGCAATATCTTCGGCAGCTTCAATACGACGCAACTCAACCAAACCATCACCGGCCTCGGCAAAGGATTTGGCCAAGAGTTCGGCGGCGGCGGCATCACCCTCAGCGGAAATAATGGCAGCCAATTTTTGTTGTTCGGCCTTTTCGACAACGAAGCGGGCCTTTTCGGCTTCTTGCTGGGCAACCTGTTTCATTTCTACGGCTTGGGTGAATTCACGGCCGAAGGTCAAGTGGGTAATGGAGATGTCGTCCAAAATGAAACCGAATTGTTTGGCACGTTCGGTCAATTCATCGGAGACACGCTGGGAAACGATCTGGAAACAATTTACAAAATTATTAAGAAAAACAACAATAACAAATATTGAATTTTTGAAAATCATACCTCACGCTGTGTAATCAATTCACCGGCATCAAATTGAGCCACCACAGCCTTCAAGACTTCAGGAGCAATGGAAGGCAAAACCCTCTCATCGTAATCTTGACCCAAAATGGTATAAATTCTTGGCAATTGATCGGGAATGGGACGATACAAGATACGCAGGGTAATATTGACATTTTGTAAATCCTTACTGCCAGTCACCACGGGGACATTACGGGGCTGTGAGCGGATATCATAGATAATGGGACGTTGCACCCAGGGGATGAAGAAATGGGTACCCTCACCGGTAACTTCATTCTTGACACCGGTAAAACGATCGAAAATTACGGCACGATGACCACCATCAACATTATATAATGCCGAGTTGACAACACCGCCGACCAAAGCAACACCCAAACCGAGTTGGCCAATGCGATTGAAGAATTGAGCAGCCATTATTTACTGGAAGAAACATATCGGACATTTAATTAGTCTTATTATCACTTGAAATTCACACACACAAACACTCAACACAAAACATGCAAGTTTCGTTTTGTTCTATTGCATTCGAGCAAAGTGTAATTTCATCATTTCACATTTTTTAGGTTAGATTTTTCACAGGCGGCATTTAATTCACTTTGTTCTTCATTATTTACACTTTAAATCATCATTTATTCTTTATTATTCATATACATCTTCTTTGCTACGATTTATTTTTTACACTTCCATACCTTTTTTGTATTATTTAATACGAGAATTAACTGAAAAAAGCCCTATTACAAAATCACACAACTTCTTTGCCTACCGCAAAAACGAGGATACTATCGATAACTGGGAAATGTACCAATGACTGAGTTATCGATATTTTTGACAGTTGAACAGCAGAAGAACTGATAAGAAATGGATTGCCATGCTATTATGAAACGGTTTTGCGCTTTTACTAGTTAACTTAAGGTGGCGTTAGACGAAGTATCTTCTCTGGCTATATCTACGTTTACATGGGAAATGATTTAATAAATTATACGGTTTAAATTGTCTAAATAAATTATATTATTTTATAATACCATACCTTATTTTTTAATATATTGTATTATGAAAGATCTTTCCTGAAAATAATGGTAGAAGAAATATAAAAAGGAAAGTGGGCAATAGACCTTTAGGCTCGGGCCGACAATTGAATAGATGGCGTGTGTCGTGAGGACTACTCTGACAGGAGGGATGCCTATTTAGGGTTCCGGGGACAATGCGCACTCGATACGAAGTGAGAACATTGCTACGAGGGCAGTTCGAAAAGTTCTTAGCTTAGCACTTAGGACTTTGTTTACATCTGTATGATTTCGGACACGGCCTGTTGCTGCACGAATTTCATCGACGATCTGTTGACGTCCGATGGAATGACGTTCTGGATGCCTTCACGATAGCGCCTGAAGTCTTGACGGATATGTCAAGATGAGCTACATGATCGAAATTGCAATGAAATGAAAGGCCAGAGATATACTACATTCCCACCATTATTCGACACGTTTCGCCATTGGTTAGGCGTCTCATCAGGCATATTGGATAATGTGGCTTACAACCTGCAACCTTAGGAAGATAAGGAGTTGGCTTTGAACGCTAAGGCGCCGGACAACAATCAACAGATGCCATGGGAACCAGGGTTCAAATCCCAGCCGGCTCAAGCTGATTTTTTTTTTTTTGAGTTTTATGCCTTTTAAGGGCGAAGGATCATTCATGTAAATGTTTTTATTAATTTCTCTTTCGAGATGAGCTACATGATCGAAATTGCATTAAAAAGGAAAGCCAGAGAGATACTACATTCCAACCATTATGCTACGCGTTATTTTATTTGACTGACAACATCCTGGTATTCTTATGGAGGTGATCGACGTTCGTCATCTGGTCACACCGGGTTGCAATTCGAAGTGCATTATTTAGAGAAGATTGCAAAGAATGAAGTCCAGACCGGGGCAGCATAATTAAGTGTGGAACGACTGATGGTATGGTTTGTCCTTATGGATTTTTCTTTATCCTTGCGCCAGGAGGTGCCAACCAAAGCATTCAGAATTTTATTTCAAGCATGTTATTGGAATGTGAGGAGGAATGAAAGACAATTTTTCGGATTATGCTACGCGTTATTTTATTTGACTGACAGCATCTTGGTATCCTTATGGAGGTGATCGACGTTCGTCATCTGGTCACACTGGGTTGCAATTCGAAGTGCAATGTTTAGAGAAGTTTGCAAAGAAAGAAGTCCAGACCGGGGCAGCATAATTAAGTGTGGAACGACTGATGGTATGGTATGTCCTTATGGAATTTTCTTTATACTTGCGCCAGGACGTGCCAGACAAAGCATTCATAATTTTATTTCTAGCATGTTATTGGAATGTTAGGAGGAATGAAAGACAATTTTTCGGATTATGGGCAATGGGGATATGCCTACCTTCGATGGAAATATCAAGTTTTAAATTCACTTCTCGCGCCCAGGAAGTGAAAAGAGACACAGCAGACTCTGCTGTGGATAAATTTAGATTGCGCTCTCAGATGGTGATTTTTGCATTTACGTCGGAAATAGGTTGAGTATTTATATTAGGTTTATACCGGGTTAACCTACCTAATGAGGATTTTTTTGACATATGAGCAATGGAAATGACAATTTAAACACACTGGTTTAACGAAATCAGGTACAGTGAAAAAGAAAAAGCTGCTGACTTTCGCTAGCTGGGTTGCTTTGTTAATACATCTTGGTCTGGTGGAGAAATGTGGAGATACATATTGAACAAAATGGGAGATAAGACACCAATTTTAAAAAGCGATATTTGGCTTTTTGGGCCCGGAACTCAAAACTTGGCGACCATTAAGGCAGTTGCTTCAAGCCAATCCTTGATATCGCTCGGAAGAGTGGAACGCCTTGGATACATCTAAAGCTACCACAATGGTCTGTCCTACTATTTAAAATCGTTTTTGAGAAAAAAAGTCATAACCCTAGTGTATATATTTTTTGAAGACACATCTTCTGTTTGCTAATGTCAATCCTCTTCCTTCATTTCTTTACAGATAGCCAAAATTAACACAATGGACCAACATCTTATTTGAACAAATTTCTAATACCTCCCCCCGAAGGTACGTTACCACTTGTCATTGCTTTACTATAGAGTGAATATAGCCTATTCGTTCATTTAATTTTTATACGAAAACAAGAAAAAAAGATTAAAAAATTAAAAGATTAAGATTAAAAAAATATATATTGAAACTGTTTAATTGATTAACAAGAAAAATCGATTATCTCGACCCCAACAGATAATCGAAATTCAACTAAAATTATTTTTCTAATTATACAGTCAATGTTTATATAATTATCTGTTTGTAAGGCCTTGCAACTGTATAAATAATATTTCATATATTTTCCATTAAAATACATCATTATTTAATTCAATTTATGTGATTTTTCTTTCAAAAGAAAAAAGGTTGTCATTAAATTATCGAATTTACTTCTTTGCGATATTTCCTCCCATCAAACGCTAATCGCCTGTTTGATTAATCAAAAGTCGATCTATACAACCCTGCCTACAAAACACTGTCTCTTTTCACATGTCATTCGTGTTTCAACTTTCGACTCGGGTGGTTTATACACAAATTTAAACGTCTGTGAATTAATTTTTTTTTCGGTCATATTTTTCCATGGCAAAAAATATGACAACGAATTAGAAAATAAACCAAAAAAGAAAACAACAAAAAATATAACTTAAAAGTTAAATAAAACGAAAAAATACCAATAAAAAGCAAAATCAAAGTGACAAATCAATCAATCATTGAATAGTGTGCAAAACAAAACATGTTGTACTAAAAGTGAGGCCAAGCAAGCAAGCAAGAAAAAAATTATCCAGCAGCTGATGTAAAAGAAAAGTAAATAAATAAATATTTAATCAGAGTTTTCATTTAAGCTTTTATGTGGTGTGTGTGTTTGTTGTTATGTTTGTGCAAATAGTACAAGAAAATTGTTGGTGTTTTTATTGTTGTTGTTGTTATTGGCGATGGAGAAAATTTTTGAATATCGACCGTAGTAAAGAAAGTCGCATTTGCGAAGAAAAATCTGTATGTAGTGTTTGCATGTAGGCGTGCGTGTGTGCATGTTTGTCCATCATCTGTCGGTCTGTTGGTTTGTTGTGTTGTGCATAGTTACGAAAATGCAAAAAAAGGAAAAGCAACAACAACAACAGAAAAATTGTGTGTGTGAAAAAAAAAACAATCTATGCGAATTCTAAAACAAAAACAAACAGCATGTGTTGAGAAAATGAGTGTAAAAAGGAAAATGAGAAGAAAAAAGGAGAAATGTAAACTACTGAATAGTGTGTAAATAAATAAAAAAACAAAATTAAAACCTGTCTTGTGTTTTGTTGTGTTCAAACATGTTTGAAAATGTGTGGAACAACTCAAAATTAAAAAAAAAACTACCCGATTTTTTTTTTAATTTTCTCAAAATATGAAATTTTTACCTAATTAATTTTTATGGACTCGAATATGCGGTTATTGGTACCGTGATATAACCGGTTTTATGGAACCGATAATTATTTACATTTTTTTTTCAAAAATATGCGGATATATTTCATTCTTCGGGATCGTAACCGGTTATCGAACCGGATATTCGGTTGCAAAAACCGGGTTATAACCGGTTTTTGGTGAACCGATATTAATATGGGTATCATTTAAAAGACTATAAAAATGCCTATCTATTAAACGGTGTTTCGTAATGATCGGGACAACTCTATTTTAGTAAAACCGACCCAATTTTCCTTAATTATTTTACTTGTTCACCTTTTTTATGAAGATATATTTTTCTTCACGGTCGTAATAGGTTATCGAACCGCATATTCGGTTACAGGAACCGTGATATAACCGGTTTTATGGAACCGATTTTTGAAATGTTTTTTTTTTCAAAAATATGCAGATATATTTCATCCTTCGGGGTCGTAACCGATTATCGACCCGGATATTCGGTTACAGGTGAACCGATATTAATATGGGTATCACTTTAAAGCTTATAAAAATTCCTATCTGTTAAACGATGTTTCTAATGTTCGGAACAATTCCATTCTAGTAAAACCGAACCAATTTCTTTTGTGAAATTATTTTTAAAGGTTCGACTTGTTCATCTTTTTTATGAAGATATATCTTGGCGGTCTTAATAGGTTATCGAACCGTATATTCAATTACAGGAACAGGTTATAATCTGTTTTTTGGAACCGATATTTTTTAAATGTTTTTTTTTTCTAAAATAGGCATAAATATTTCATTCTTGGGGGTTGTAACCGGTTTTAGACCCGAATATTCGGTTACAGGAACGGTGTTATAACCGGTTTTTGGTAAACCGATATTAATATGGGTATCATTTTAAAGCTTATGAGAATAGCTATCAATGTTTCCGAACAATTCTAGTTTAGTAAAACCCAACCGGAATTTTTATTTTTTTTTTTCAAAGGAACCGAAGTATTTGTCTACCTTTTTTTTCAAAGATATGGAGATATATTTCATTCTTGGGGTCTTGTAACCGGTTATCGACTTGGGTATACGGGTACCGGAACCGGGTTGTAACCGGTTTGGCGGATTTTCGGTATTAATATGGGTATAATTTTAAAGCTTATGGGAACACTTATCCATTTCATTGTGTTTCGGAACAGTTCTAGTTTAGTAAAACCGACCGGGATATTTTTTATATTTTCCCTAAAAGTATAGACATACAGTTTTATTGGTAAAGGTTAACATTTGTAACCGGTTTTATGGAACCTAAGTATTTTTCTAGCTTTTTTCAAAGAT